GTACACACACACAATACTATCTATCTGTCTATATATATATATATATATATATATATTAATGTTTAGTAGGACTTACGAAAGACTATCTGACTACTGGTTTCCATGAAAGATGGTCTGACTATTGATTACTTGTGAAAGACAATCTGACTGTTGGTTGCCTGTGAAAGACAATCTGACTGTTGGTTGACTGTGAAAGACAATCTGACTGTTGACTACCAATGAAAGGCAATCTCACTGTTGACTACCAGTGAACGACAGTTGGACTGTTGACTACCAGTGAAAGACATTTGGACTGTTGACTACCAGTGAAAGACAATCTGACCGTTGACTACCAATGAAAGTCAATCTCACTGTTGGTTACCAGTGAAAGACAGTTGGACTGTTGACTACTCATGAAAAACTATCTGATTGTTGATTACCTGTAAATGGTTATGCAACTGAAAATGTCAACTATTACATGTTGAGTGAGTACTGAAAGATCTCACTTTTATTTCTTCTCATTGATTGAAGTATTTCAAAGTTAGCATAAGTTCTAATTTGTTAACACTTTGAAGCAGTCATTTCTGTGAATTTTGAATCTATTTCGTATAGTGACTGTATTTCGCTATTTTATGCAGATACTTTCAAAATTGGAAATTAAGATTTTCAAGAGCACCTTGTGTGTTTTGATGATAAAATTTATCTATGAAGCTGAATTCAGAAAAGCTTTTAAACCTTTCCCACAGTTTTGTATTTAATCTAGATTTTTTGGAACTAGATAAAAAGAACTATTCTTCCCATGCTTCATTGTAGCTAAATGTTTATTTTAACTAAATTTTATGTTAGTATCCTCATTGACTAGCAAGAATGTTTATCATCAAGATTGGGATTGTTGACTGTAATGTCAGTTGCATTATAAACATTCTGTCTTTTTATTTCATGTCATGTTGAGTATCTTTAGATGATTTCTTAACACTTAGACATTCGAGAATATTAACTCCTTAAATCTGAGCGGACAGTTCTATTGTCTGGCCAAAAATCCTGATTTACCCATCGGATGATGACAACTTCCAATAACATTTATGTCTCTTTGGCTGAAAACTAATCCAAACCATGTTGTTATTGTTCACAAATTAAGAAAACTGAAGTTTTATAAAGTATGGTGATAATTATTAGATTTTATTTGCACGTGCTGACCTTAGCATTCCCATTAGCACAAACATTGTTCAGTTAACTTCAGGACGTAGTGTCTTGACTTGTGTAATACTTATGTTCACCTATGGAGATTATTATTTATGAATTTTTTGCCTTTTTTTAGTGACTGATTACATACATTCTGAACATTTGTTCTTGCTTATCTTTCTCAAGTCATTTTGAGACTTTGGCTGCTACTTCTCATTCTCCAGTTTCATTTAGCCTCTGTTACTCCTCAATTGGGTACTTTCCTCTGATCCTGTGTCATCTTTTCATTTAAGTTATTATTGAATGATACTGTTATTTGCATTACAACAGGTCATTTTTATTCACTTGTTTTCTGAGGCCCTTCTTTAGCTCCCAAAAGTTTTTGCTAAGGACTTGTTATCTGCATTTCTCATTTGAATTGAACTATCTGGCATTACTGGGATCATCAGTATATGAATCATTTCATTTTAAAGTTAGGTTTTCACCTTCATTTTTATAAGGTATGTGCTCTTTCCCATTCAATGACACTAGATTTTTACCAATATATCATTATTCTTAGAAAAGGAGGCTGCATCCTCTTGATAACATTGTGCTTTTAAGTTCTTTGACTTGTCATTTTTCCTCCCTACATCTCAAGATTAACTCTGAACTGAGTTGGTAAGAGTGACATTATATATTACTTCACTGGATAAGGCATGAACTCCACAGTAGTGCATATTTTTTTGGTTACCATATTCATCTACAAAAAAGAAAAATATAGATTCAATCAACCAAGAGAAGGTATAGTTCTTAATGTATCATAAAATAGCACTATAAAATAGATTTAGATACATAAACCACCAAATTGTTTATGAAATATAGAAATGTGTTATTGATTTCTCCAGCTTTTGAATCCAAAGTAAGTTGATATTTGGACCAAAAAGCTTCAATCAATCTCTGCAAGAAATTTTTATTGGGTTTATGGACAGTTCTTCAGAATTTTATTCTCACATTTTTGTCATTCAAATACACACATAACATTAATAATTTATTTGAGACATTTTTTATGTACATGCATATCAATCTTAATTTCCCTTGCTTCAAGTTGGAAGTTTTCCAATATGATACCTTACCACTATCCTTTTTGTTTCTGCATATCCGCATGTAAATGATCATGCAGCAGCTCTCCACCAATAGGAGAGCGACATCACTCCTATCAAAACCAGCACCCTCTTCACATAATCCCTCCTTAATCACTTCTCAATTTGCAATAGTAATGGACAGACGTGTTTGTTTTTCCTCGCAAGTTTGTCAAAATTTTCTTTTATACAACAGACTCAGTTTTCTGTAATATTTCTTTATTTTTTTTGCATTTTTCAATTTTGAAAGGTTGCTTTTCCAACTTTTCTTACTTTTTTGCTTCAAGTTTGGAATTGTCACTATGCATGCACAGTTTCAGATAGTTACAGTTACCACAGCTATTACTGCTGCTGCGGGGTTCCCAACTACTACTACCTGGTTGTGTACTTAATTATCAGTCAAAGGTATGATGGCAATTATTTGACGAGAAATGTCCATATCCATGCAACCTTCACCATCTCCCTTCTCCTTCTCTTCAGTTTTCTATGATTCTCAACCTACCCTCCTTGCTTTTCAAAATAGAATATTGCACTGTCTCTGGTGCTGTGGTACTCTGGACCCTCCAATGCATTTTTCTCCTCCTCCTTCTTCTAGTGGAATATGGGAGTCTTTACCACTTACCAGTTCCAAACCACTTGGGTGGTGGACCATAGAGGCCTGTCCTCCTGAGTGTGTATAATAACACTCAGTTGAGTGTAGGGCAGTGATATTCTACTGGTGAAGATGACGTGATGCTCTTCTATCGCTGACCTGATATATAATTCCAAATGCCACCAAGTGTTGGATATAGCACTCCACCATATACTGCAGTTTGCCCCTTCAGTTGAGGCAACCTCATTCCTGCCAAGTGCTGGATGTTAGTTTTGGACTGGAGATGTAAATCCAAATAGCATGTCTCTCTTCCTACTATTCACTGGATGTCAGTTCCCGGTGGATCTGGAGTTGGTTATAGCTGGACAAAACACATGAATTCCCACATGTGTAAGGCTGGGTACCCTCCTCCTACCACAGACTGGATGATTAATTCCCAATGTCCCCAGGTTTTTGGACTAGAGAGGAACACCCACCTGGGCTCTTCACCTTCCTATCATCTCCTGGATGTCAGTTCCTAGTGGATCTAGTTTTGGTTCTGTTGGAGGTGCATACAATGAAGTGAGTTCTTGATATGGAAGCTCCCTTTTCCTGCCAGTACCCATTTTTGAGCTGAAAGTTGGAGGACCCTCTTTCTGCCACAAACTTGATGTACAATTACAGATGCTGCCAGGTGTTGGTTGAGGTCAAATTTCCATTCACTATCTGTTGCTCCCTAATCACTCTACACCCATTATTTTTGTAATTTTTTCTTTGGGACCTTCCATGTTTCTGCCCTTTTTTGGCAACACATTACTAAAGTATACCTGACTCAGAAGTGGTGTGGTCTCCCACGAATGAGTTGTTTTTAATTCCTTCTCACACCCCATGGTTTTCCTTTGAGCACTTCCTAAAGGGGAATTATCTTCTCACTGGTCCTCCACAGGTTCAATGTGGGATTCTAGGTTTTTGTGAGAGGAGGTAAGATGTTGTATCAGAAGTTAACATTTTCCTAAACTGAAAATGTATTTCTGATAGATACTTATCTTTTTTCACATTTCCCGCCCTTCCTCCCCACTTCTGGTGTGATTTGGCTTGACCTGACCAAACTTAAAGTGGTTAACAGCTGGAGGATTATAGAGAGGGCACTAGTTACGATAGGGGTAGTGTCACACTCCTATTGGTGGAGGGTTGCTGAATAATCATTTGCATTTTAGAAATAAGTGGGAGTGTCAAGGCTAGTGGTGAGCAAAAATTTGTGCCAATAGAGGGCATCATAAGTCGAGAAAGCTTTCCGTGAGAAGAGGTATCTATCGGAAATACATTTTTTAGTTTAGAAAAATGTTAACATTTCCAAATGTGAAAGACTTTGTTAAAACAAAAGTAATTGAACACGTTTAGTTAACTGGTAATTTATATAAGAATATTTATAATACATTATATAAAGCATTTCAGCTCAATTCATCATATAGAATTTATTGTTGTTCTGTGCCAACAATCTGATAATTATGTAGATATGGTGGGCTTTTATAGATCTAACTTAGATATTGAGTTCACTGGCAACATAGACACTGCATAGATTTCACTGTTATGGATTACATTGCTTAAAACAGCAACAAAATTATATAACTTTCTAATAATGAAATTTGGATACCCTACTTGAAGTTTCATGCTTGCTATCTTGTATTTGACATCATTGAAAATATTTAAGTTACAAATAATTGTTTATTCTCTAGTTAAAGCAATTTGATGTGTTAGAAATTTAATAGTATTGAGTAAATTTAAACTTTGTTTATACATTTGGGTATTACTATCAAAACACTAATTTTGATATTTTATCTACGTATAATTCCTCACTCATTAAGTTTCACTTTGTTACATGTTTTTATGTTTATATTGTAGTTGAAATAATATTTTTTATAATATATTACATTTATGCTTTTCATGTTACATTTTAAGGTCTCAATACAAGTTTGCTAAGTCAGCTTATGGAGAAAAAGACTTCAGACTTTCCAACATGTGTAAAGCTGTGTGGGCTCGTCTCAAGTACCAGTGGAATCAGTGTAAATCAAGACCTACCAATGAAGTGGACAAAAGATGACTGATGTCTATTGTAGGGAAAATGTGTACTGGTACACTAGTTTAAATATAGGTTCATTACTGAAATATACGCAGATCCATTTGATGTCATTTATATATCTAGAATTATAAAAAAGGCATTAACCATCTTTAGGTCAGCTAACATTAATGTCAGTTAAAGAAATACACAAAGAACTTTTCATTATATATATATATAAATAAAACTAACAGCAGTTAGTTCCAGTTGATGTATAGTTTTAAAACATTGGACATGTACTTCCAGCATGTAATAAAATTCAAACACATATTTTGGCATACATAACTCTTGGATATCAAATTGTGTGAGAATTCAATGTAATTAATAGTCATTTGGTGATAAAGATATAGTTGATTAAGAGCAAGTGAAGACATTTACAAAATTGACAGTTTTAGTTAGCCATCATGTAAACATATAATTATTAAGTTTGACTTTTTAACCTTTCAACAATAATTCTGACTACATAGTACTCATTTGGCATTAATAAAAATCTTGTTTGCATATGCTACCAAAATATAAACATTTCAAAATCAGTTTTAACAACTATAACCGGGCTCTTCTTCACTATAATTGTAGGCAGATATTTTACTAAAATACTTTTGACACAGTCTTGAAAGAAATCGTTACAAAAGTATTTCTTTTTGGACATGTATTTATAGATTAAACCTATCTTACAAGTAGATTACATTTTGAGACATCATATTTCATTTAATTGTACTGGATGCTTTTACAAACCATTTACATTTTAGAGAAACGACAGTGTTAAATACAGTTTTTCATACCATCAATCTTACCTTAAGTTCTGTTTAGTAAGATACTGAAATTATTATTAAAAGTTGTCACATTCAAAGAGGTTTAATGAGACATCAGTATAAGTGTATCATTATAGCCAAGTGACTTGGGACAAAATAAGGTGGCCTTTGTGGATCGTTACTGTAGCTCTCATGAACAAGACAGCAGGTCAGTATTTACTGTTATCAGATGTAACATCTAGATAGCTTTAAGAAGACACCATTACTGTTGATTTGTTTGAATAAAATTGTTCTGCAGCAGATACAACATCGTACAAGTATTTGAATCATTGTAACATTTAACTGAGTTTAAGGAGATACACAGTGGTGTAGCTAGAAATTTTTCTAGGAAGGGGGGGGATTTTCAAATTTTCTATATGCTAGGTACATGAAATATGTCACTAAACGTTTTTAAGTAATTTACTTTAGTTTTTTATTCAAGTGGCACATAAGGAACGCAAGACAAACATTGTCTAAGTGCAACGTACCAAGCCTATGAAAAATAAGACATAATCCACTTTCTTCACACTTTACATTTGACCTGCCTCAGAAAGTTAACATTGAAATATGCAATTCATTTTAAATTACAAAAAATCATCAAATTTAGTAATATGTACTAATGAGGAATTACCATTTAATATTTATTACAATGTAAGAATGAAGTATATTCATTGCTCTAGTATGAGAACTAAACATTAATAAAACTAAAAACAAGCTGAATGTAATCTTTGCAACATTTTTTACTTTAGCAGCAGCAGTTCTGATTCTTCTGTAAATTTTTAATAAGCCAAGCATTTTATTTATTAATGAAGGAAAAACTAGGGTGTTTGTGGGAGCCAAATGTGAAGGAACATTTATACCAATATATTTTTTATCATTTTTGCAAAAGTCTCTCAATACATCTGTTGTAATTAACCAATTTCATGGTGTATTTTTTTCAATGCTGATTACTGTTAGACCAGTAAGTCTTTCATTAGTCATAGACTATTGTAGATACGATTGAATTAATTTCATTCAACTGAAAGATCACTCAGCACTTGCAGCGATAGTTAAAAACACTTATTAAAATCACCAAATTTGGGAATGCACGAAGCAGTTGCTTTTTTTTTTAACAAAACTTATGAATTCCGTAGATAAACGTTTCCCAAACCGCAGAACCTCGGGGGTTTCGTATGATATATCCAGGAGTTCTGGGAGAAAATTTTGTTGAAGTAAAGGAGCAGGCCAGGTATAGGTATGGCGTAAAAGCTTGTTGGCCCATAAATTGTACCACCCTGTATTTCCTTTGTTATTGGCTATTTCATTTATGGATGGAACCTAGTTGATGACTTGCTGTAAGTTAGTCAAGTGCAGTATTTCAAGGAAACAAAAATATGAGAATCCAGATCTCCAGCATCACTCCCAATATCAAAATGGATTTGTGAGCAAAAGAAGCATCAACACTCATTAAAAAGGAACAAAAATTTTAAACAGCTTTAAGACTTTGTTTACATGTTATGAAGTTAAGACTTAAGTGTATTCTTGAATAAGAAACTATTGGATTATATTTAATATATAAATATAAGAAATAGAAAATAAAGTTAAATAAATTTATTTGTGTATATGGTTATCAATTGTACAAAGGTGATAATTTTTTATGAATTAACATTTTAACATAAGGGTTCCATCAATAGTTTTAGAGCTCGAAAGTGTTCCATGGCTGAAAAAGTTTTGGAAATGCTGGTTTAGATGCTTTCTGGGAGATTTTTTATTCATGTCACACAGCATTTGATAATCTTGTAGGTTCTCTTCCTTGCTGCATACATTGTTTACATTTTATCAGTTGTCAACAGATTCAATAGGCAAAAAGTTTGATGTCTTGAGGCAGGAAAACTTGATAAAGGTTTCATGAAAGTATCTGATGCTTAATAAACACTGACCCAAAAGCATCTTTCAACATCAGCTATTAGGTCATCTTACGTTATTTTTACTGGGTAATTGCTCACTTTTCTGCCGTCTCTGCATAAATTCTGTGCTACAATCATATTTTTCTTCTTGTTCTTTTGCTATTTTAATTTTCACATTTAGATATGATTTTTTTTATGAGATTTTGTAAATTTGTTTAATTACTTTTATTAATTCAAATGCACTTAAAAGGTCCATATCAGAAGACTACAGATACTTCAGTATTTCCTGCCACAGCAGCAGATTTAAAATCAACTCAAATTCTGTCATAGCTTTGTGAAGACCATGTGCTTCAGCAGCCACTTGTCAACATTCTGAACTTTTTCCAAGCTTTTAACCAAGCAGGATACGTTATCAAAACCATTGTGGCAGACTGATGTCAACTGCACCAGTACGTATCTTGGAACGTTTTGAAAGATATTTCTTCAGTTTTCAGAACTTCAAAGGTCTTGTGGTATTCTTGAAGTCTGACCATACTTGATGTGTATAAGGAGTAAATTTTATCCAAAATTCAAAAAAACATCACAGCTTGTATTGAGGCTTGGCATGGATTGATTGAAATCATCTGCACAATTACAACTGAATTGTTTTCCTGTGCAACTCTTTCCTATGCAACACTTTTTTCACCAGCCATATTAAAACAACCATCTTAACATTGCCCACAACAAACCTGAACAGTTAGATCCCACTCTTGGAGATTATTTATTATAACATGAAATAAATATTCAGTAGTTGCTGAAACAACTTTTTCAAAGACCATAAAACCTCTGCTACATCATAGTGTACATTTTTACAAAAGTGATATTCGAACTTGTTCAGATATAGATTTAATCAAGTCATTTTGTATTTCTGGGCTAAGATAAGACTTCTTTTATCAGTCTGTCATATGTTTTGCAAGGGCTGTATCACATTCAGCCAACAATTCCAGGAAATTCCCTTTATTAACAGACAAATTTTCTGAACTGTTATATACTCTCTTTGCCTGCCAGAGGCAAAGTTTTGCCAAAGTAGAAAGATAATTACTTAGTGACTTCCTTCACAGTAAGTCTATTATTTTCTATAGCAGGTATATGAGCATTAAGCTGTTGGTGATTAACAGTTTTCTTATCCATGATTCTTTGATGTATTTTTGTAATTCCACAGGCTTTCTTTATATGTGTTGGAGAACATTCATGTTCTCTTATTCTTTGTCCCTTTTTTTTTCCATTTACAAAATCCATGCCCAGAATCACACCATGTTGGCTCATTTTGGGATTATCCCATAAATAAAAGACAAGGAAAACAAATTACTTTTTCCAATTTAAAAGAGTAGCTTAGCCAGTCTTTTTGAATCTGTGATTAGCCAAGCTGTTTGAAAAGAATGGCCTTTGGAATTCTTTCTGAACTCGTATTCACCTTCCATTACCAGGCTGGTAGGGTTTAGCATTTTAGGAATCAAAGGCTTATTAGCTAAAATGGCAAGATCAGAAGGGAAGGGCAATGTATGATTTAATGATGGTTTGTAAGCAGTGCTTCCAAAATGGTACTAACTTCTTTCACCAAAAGCTATCTCGATCTTGATTTGCCCTCTAAGAATTGCTAAAAACGTTTTTGCTAATAGCACATCAGTCTGTTATACCCTTTTATTTTTGTGCCATTTCAGAACATGTGCATATCATGTGACTACCCACCACCAATCATACTGTGCCACCTACACTAGTGCAGGTAGCTCCTTCTACCATTCTAGAAAAATCCCCCCTTTCTCAATTGGCATTACAGTATATAGACATGTGTTTATTTTGCCCCATGTGCTTGCTTTTTAGTTGTAATTGCATTTCAGTCCTTCACTGGTTTTAAACTTAGTGTTTGCTTTTGAATTTTAGTTTTGTTTTTCAAAGCATTCTTCCATAATTTGAATTATAATTTGAAATATGAATTCAAATTTTACAGTAGCGGATGACAAAGTTCCTGCCAATATTGAGGATAGTAATGTCAATAGTCTCTAGCAAGGTAGGTCGACGATATCTACTGAGGAAGTTTAAGTCTTAACTCACAGGGAGTTGGACACTTTTACTCAGCAGTCGGTTTGTTCTCCATTTCTCCCTGATGAAGCTGCTGAGGAAGTATTTATTCAGGGTTAAGATAATTTTCCGGCCTTTATGGTCAGTCACATAATGCTGACAGTCAGGAGAGTTTGCTGACCTCACCATTCCTACACCTTATTGATCAGATATGACAAATTTTTAATGTTTCATCCTTACCTCTTGATTCCTCTCTTACATTTGGGGGGAAGAACCTCGTTCTGCTTATGTTTTTCCACCCTCTCCTGACATCCAAGTTCATGCTCAACATTTTGCTGATCAAGTGCTGTTGGGTTCGGGTATATCCTCCCAGTTGATGGACCAATATTTTTTGGCTTACCAGCAGGTCTCAAATCCCTTTTAAGATTCCTTTCTGGATCCTCTCTTCCCCCCTGTAGGGCTTGATTCTGGGGGCTTTGATGCACTTTAATCAATCTCAGTTTTCTAGGATTCATCTTGCCCTGACAGCCCTTTTGCATATTATTTCCTCATTACAGTTGTTGTCTCAAACCTTTCACCAGTCACTCGATAAATTTTCTGATGAACTCAAGACCCTCCCGTCTGTGGTCTGCTCTGTGCTGTTTCTGAACACCTGGTTATTACTTGAGGGGGTGCATCTCCCACTGTCTTCTATGAGGCATCTTCGCCAGGCCTTGTTTCTGTGTGAAATGGTTTTTGGGGGTCACCCTGAGTTTTTGGAGTCTAGGGTTGATGTGGCAAGGACACATTCCAGCTTTCTCCACTTTGGCTCAAGGATGTGGAGTGGGCAGTCATGAAGGCAGTACATTTGCTTTTTCTCACTGGGTTTCCTTGGAAGCTCTCATTCCCTTGGGTCAAATGCACATGCGTTCCCTTCAGTGGATGCTTATCAAACAATGGAACTTCTCCCATGATCCCTGAGATCATCCTATTACCCTCCCTCCTGGGATCAGAGCCAACCTTGCATGGTGGCTCGACAGGGAAATAACCACAGTGGGGATTCCCACTCCACCATCTCGTCCTGGTGCTCACCTGTTTACGGATGCTTCCTTGGTAGGTTGGGCAGCTTTTCTTGAATCCAGGAAGATTTTGGGTCAGTCGTGAAAACTACATTCCATATCAACCTCCTCAAACTTTTGGTTGTTCGTTAACCCTTTCGAGATGGGTCACAGGTGAAAGGCC